CTGTCCACCTTGTTGGTTCTACTAATTCTAGTTCACTATCAACCGTTTGTCATGAATATGGAACTCAGAAGTTTACCAGCAATTCACACAATCAAGTGCCCCCAGGGCCATACTTTCTAACACCAAATACAGGCGAGCTCTTCAAGGCTTATCGCTTGTATTCTGATGTACAGGATGCTTTTACTGAAGGTACAATTGAGAACTCAGACGGAACGTTTTCCATTCTGAGTGCATCTATTCCTGGGGTGCAGAGTTCTACTATTGGCGTGCCTTCCAGGCTCTACTATACCAAAACTGCTGAAAAGCCTCTCGCTGGAGTCCGGCTTGGTGTTAAGGATATCTACGATATTGCAGGAATCAAGACCAGTAACGGCAATCGTGCATATTACGAGCTTTATCCACCAGCAAATGTTACCGGACCTGCTGTCCAGAGTTTGATTGACGCAGGAGCAATAATCGTCGGGAAAATGAAGACATCCCAATTTGCTAATGGAGAAAGTCCAACCGCTGACTGGGTGGATTATCACTGTCCTTTCAACGCCCGTGGTGATGGATACCAATCCCCATCCTCTTCTTCTTCTGGTCCTGGAGCTGGAATTGGTGCTTATGATTGGCTAGACATTGGCATTGGATCCGATACTGGTGGAAGTATTCGTAACCCATCTCAAGTCAATGGATGTTTCGGTAATAGACCATCCCATGGGATGGTTAGCTTGGATAACGTTATGCCTTTGTCTCCGACTCTTGACACCGCCGGTTTTCTCACCAGAGATCCAGTTTTGTGGCACGAAGCTGCTAAAGTCTTGTATGGAAACAATATCACAAGCAACTTCACTGAATTTCCCAAGAAGATCTGGACATCAGATTTCCCGGTGAATGCCACAACAGAGGCTGAATCAGTCTTACTTGATTTCCTGGCGAAGTTAGAAACGTTTCTTAATTCGACAAGCACAACTGCTCTAGATATGGGGGCTCTTTGGAACGAGACAACCCCATCTGGAGCCAATGGCTCATCAATTGACGACTTCCTCAGTCTTGTCTATCCCACCCTCATTACCCAACAACAGTACAGTCTCCTTGCCGAACCGTTTTATGCAGATTACGCTGCTGCAAATGATGGCGCCCGTCCTTTCATCGACCCCGTACCATTAAGCAGATGGGCTTGGGGACAAAACAACATCAGTGCTGATGCAACTGAACAAGCCATTTATAACAAAACCATTTTCATGGATTGGTTCGCCGCGGAAGTTGTACCTTCTAGCCCAATCAGCTGTAGTGAAAGTTTGTTTCTGTATCCCGGGACATTAGCAGAAACATCATATAGAAATGAATACACCAGGTACGTAAAATTTTCCACATATCGATAGGAATATCCAGCTGTCTGGACTGTGATCCAAAAATCAGAAACCTGAAACATTTGAAACTTGAATCCAATTTTTACTAACTGAGATCAATGAACAGTCTCCCAGAAGTACCGTCCGGATGGTCTGTCAGCCGCGTATCCAACTTTGCCGAAGTCCCCGATATGGTATTCCCAATAGGCCAAGCGGCATACAACTCTACCATATCACTGCAAACAGAGTATCTGCCGGTGGCAATTGACATTATTGCGAGGAAAGGGTGCGATGGGATGATTTTTGAACTGGCGGAACGGTTGTTAGAAGAAGGTATTCTGGTGGTTCCCAAAGCAGGGAGTGTAATGTATTGAATTTAGCGATTTCATTTTGGATAGTTATTTAATGTCTATATTTCAGTTGATCAACATTGAAGCTTTTAGGTGATGATTGCAGATGAAACGTTCATATTATTACGAGTAACTATATACGATAACCTCTGCAGTCAGTTGCTCAATCTCATTACCCAGACATCAAACGCTTCTTGTAAATACTTTGCAAATCATTTGCTTTTGCAGAAACTAAGATCCATCTTCACTAAACTTTCCCAGCAATGATTAGTGGCCAGCTATACATTGTGTATTCACACAGTTATTATATTCGACTGCGCTACGAACGTTTCCCCTTTATATCGGTACATCCACTCTCATTCCCAGGCACAAGGACTAAAAAAATGTATACAACGTGCACCCCTAATAGACAGATCCTTATAGAGAGGTTCTCCTGTACCGATATCAGTTGAGGGTGTGCGTTATACACGTTATTTTAAAGCCCATGTATTTAGGAGTAGAATTGGGAATTGGGAGTACAGGTATGGAAGAGAAGTTCCTCGTGTACCTTCCTCCCTTTCTCTTAATACTCTACGACTACGTATTCAAATCTATGTTACTATCCTAATTCGTGCTATTGTCACAACTTGTATTATTGTCCCGATTCATATCATTATCTCAACTCATGTTATTGTCCTAATTGATATTATTGTTCCGATCAGTATCATTATCCTAACTTAACATCATGCAATCAGTTTCACACTTTCATATTACCATAGCTCATCATAAACCACATGGTTTGGTCTAGTACAAAAAACATCCCAATTTTCCATAAAAACCTCAGCATGATAGTTTTATTTCAAAATTATAAAATGTTCCACCGACTTGATTTCTTGCTGTTTCAGTGTATTTCTGCTTCAGATTACCAGCTATGCTTTTACAAAATTTGTTCTTGTCCAGTGCATGAGTCTGTGCTGCCCCACTTGCCCCGCTCCAATCTGCAAATTTTGCTCTTTTTTTCTTCTTTTTTTCTCAGAAGCCAATTGAGTATCAAAATGATATGCGAAAGAACTTCAAAAATTGAAAACAATTGAGTATTTATGAAAGCAATGGATATTTGTTTGCTGTGAATTTTGATGTGTTGATAGGTAGATAAAGGAGGTAGGCGTTAGCCGAGGAGATTAACTACCACACGCTCTCTTTTCTCCAATCAAGAACATTTTGTGTCTATCGTAGCCTTTCGGAGATAATTCATAAGGCTGGCAGATATTTCTATAAGATTGATGTAACGATAAAGTATTAAATTAGAAGATGATTATGAGCTTGCTCCTCTTACCCCTCCAACAAGTCGCTTTCAACGTTGTGTCTTCGAGGTACTTCAGATGAGGTCAAATCTTTAAATAAGATTAGGTGGCTAAAATAGCAGGGTTCTGTGCTACTATTTGGAAAAAACAAAACGCTAGACGTCGCCTAACGTTAAGATCCCTTCGTTATCCCCTGCTTTAGCCCCCGTTTAGCCCCATATATCACATCCACATGCAAAAAGCAAAAGAAATTTGACCTACGCAGGGATCGAACCTGCAATCTCTTGATGCCGAATTGAAGGATAGAATCCTTTAATCGTAGTCAAGCGCCTTGCCATTGGGCCAGCAGGCCATATTATTTGATGGGGGAGGATATAAGATTTTGTCAATATATACCTAGAATTTTGGGAAGACTCAGTTGCCCAGTTGTTGACCAAATCTGCACATTGGGAAAGGTTTCTTATGACAGCACTTTCTGACTGTCAATTCATTTTCATGTGAAACGAAAATATAAAGTTGAACAATGATTGATACAAGTATTCAATTCTGCGAGAGCACATTTGAAAATCTGGCGAAATTTAAAACGGTAGACTTCCTCAAGGATGCCTCAATACTTGCTTCTAGCACTTTTCCTCCAAGAAAACACTTTGATTGGGGAAGCTATCAATACCAAGAATGTTGACCGTCTTCAGTCATCAATCAAAGGTGTTGGTAGTATAATTACCAACCTTCAATAATTCCGATTCAGCTTACTCTGGTTCGTACTTTACTTGGGTATATAAAACACCTCAGCAGCAAGCCGATACGTATATTCAGAAAGTCAAGATCCGTGGAGTATAAGGGGACTACGTAAGTAGAATCTTATGCGCGGTAGCTGGTTTTGTTTATTTTTTGCCTTCGTATTACAATAAAGAGAGTCTTTACTACAGCCTAGCATCAAACTCATGTTCTCTTGCGAATACAGCTTATCGAAGCGTATGTCAATTCTTAATTCGTCCAAAACTCGAAGTTAGAAGCACAAAATCAAACAGCAAAGATTGTGAGCAGTGCTCACCACAAATCTAGTGATTCATTTGTGTTTCTGTAGGTATCCGAATAGGTAAGGATAAGTGTAGGTCTCGATGTTTAAGATCTATTATGCGTGCTTCTTCTTCCGTGCTGCCATCGAAACTTGTTTATGCCTCTAGTGAGATCTTGATGCCCAAAAATCATTTGATACTATGTGGGTTTGCTACTTTGAAGATGATAGAGTATTCTATTTTAGAAGAAAAGACAAATTGGATTAATGACTTAGCAAGGAGTGATTAGGACTCGGCGGTTGCGTTCCCTTTCTTTCTTTGTGGATAATCTTCGAACCTGTTCTGAATCATCTAGACTATCCTGAATAATTATGTGTGTCATAATGAAAGACTTGAATCAGCACAATCAACCGACTCAAGGCATTACAGTAAATTTCCATAGCTCTTTATCTTCTTGTTGGTCTCATCAAACTACCCGTGCCACGGGAAGATTTCAGATACACATGTACTCTCCTTCAAGAAGATTCTACTTCCTGATATCAATCAATACCCAATGACAAAGCTCAAAGCTCTAAATCTGGGATTTATGATACGTTTTTGACTACAAGCACAAAAATTGCTACTGCTTGAATATTTTTTTAACCACAAAGTACGGCTATTCATGATTCATTTCCAGATCGACTGATCCCGAACTCGATCTTCTATCGTACTATCTAGCACAGACTTGCATATAACTAAGCAGTATGAAAGTCACAAGAAACAGTATCTTTGGGTCTTCTTTGAACCAAAGCAAAAGCCGTACCATGCTTCCTTTCACTTTACTATATATGGGTTACTCGATCCCCAAGAGTTCTAGATCTCAAGCAAATCATTAGACAAGCAAAAAACTACACATTAAATCAGCCAGATACTCAAACATACTCGCCCACAATAGAACATCAGTTTCGTCCGCGATCAGAGATTACTTGGAGTACGCGGTCACCGACTACCAAGCCAACATTTTACTTTCACAATATGTCGAACTCCTACGTCCGACCTCCTCATTATCAGAGACATCATCAGTCCATGCTGTTGAATCTTTCCAGCATACATCCGCACTTCGAGACAGATAATTTCGACCGCGAGTACCAAAAAGAACTTGCTTCGGTCATTTCTCAATATCCGCTGACTGGTTTGGACTTCTGTTATTACTGGACTGAGAAAGTCTTGTGGGATAGATTTCAATTATCTAGTGCATATGGCGAATTTCCTGGTAAATATGGTGGTCCCGAGTATATTGTTCAACAACAAGTTGGTCAATTGCCTCCCACTCCAGAATCTGCTGAACCAGCACCTGCGATAACTGCAGATTTCTTTGATAACATCTTGGAGAGTTTGGGGACTCCAAGCCGCCCTGCGAAACCTGTCCAACCAATCAGCGCTCAGGCTCCAGAGATGTCTAAAGCTGCCTACGAAACACCTGTCTCTAAACCTGTCCAACAACGAGTGGATCTCATGGCAATGCCATCTCGCAAACTAGCTCATAATCATTTCGAGGGATACCTCAAGCCTCCAAATACACCAGCTTCGGTCTCAATACAAGCACCCCGAGATTACCCCAAAGACTTTGTCTATCCCGAAAGCCCATACACTTCAGCACAAGACTCTCAAGCCTTTGCCAACGCCCCAGTCAATCCCGAAGGCCTAGGCACTTCGCAGACTTCAAATGAATTTCCGGTATCAACCACCGGACCCGACCCTCCAACTTCAACACCTTCATCGCTCTTAGCTGCTCGGCTTGCTTTACCTGGCTTCCCCAACCCCATTGCAACATCCAACTCCGCACCTGCTGCACCATCCTCGTCATTGACACCTCTTCCTCCTCTCCTACTCCCCGATTCAGTTGTCAAAGATCCCGACACTGGCGAACTCATCACAATAAAGATGTTTGAGCGTCGCTGTCTTGGTCGTGGTGCTGAAATTGCCATCAGACAGGCACAAGCTGCCGTTAAGGCGACACCAAATCGTATGACCAAGCCTGTAGCCCGTTTGTTGTTGGAGGATTCACTCACCACGGCATTGGCCAATATTATCCAAGAACAAAGCCAGCAGTAAAGTGCGAAATTTGGACCTAAGCGCGCCTCAATTTGCTTCTTTATTGCTGTTGTTCGTCCAGGCAGAATTGAAATTGTGTCCGACTAGGTATCTTCCCGGACAGGGCCTGTCCGATAGGCAGTGCGGGCTGTAACCGGAAGATAATGACTATAATTTTCGCAAACAACAGAAAGAAATGCCTATCGAACTCTTGAACTCAATTTAAGCCGCTCTACTTTCGATTGAGCTGGATTTAACAAGATATTCGGATTGTTCTAAGCGGCCATCAAACACTCCTCACTTAGCCAGGGTATTCAAGGCGAGGGCATTATGACTTCTCTAAGTTCTTGTCTCTTTCTTCTACTGATCGGATCTTGTTCTGCTTGTCATGGACCACGAATATTTGAACTATCTGCCATCTAGCAGATAACTCAACGGTTTGTGGTTCTTCGTCGATGAAGTATTGTACTCTATCTAAGAAGAACAGATACGATAAGTAAATGGGAAGCTCAAGGAACTCTTCAAGTTAGATTCTTCATAACAGCTCACTTAATTATTGAATAACTTCTGCTTACTTTGTTTCTTCTAATAGAGTAGTATGAGATGCGCATGATACATCCAGAAAGTGACACAGAAGCTGTACAGAATGAAATACCCTGTGGACGCAGCAATCAATCTCTCAAGTGAAGCTGGTAGCAAAACTAGGTAAGCACAATTGCATGTCTCCGGTCTATTCAAGATGTCCCTTTATATCTTGCAAAAAGAAGTTTAGAAAGTAATAGTCAGCTCTCATAAACGATTAACTAATTCCTAATCAAAGAAAACAAATGTTTCTAAAAAGCGAATTGTCCCTCTAAGATTTTGGATATAAAATATGTTAAAATAATCCAATTTTGCTATAAATCTAATTCATTTTTAATACACAATCTTCAAATTTTAAATAATATTTCAAAAAATTATACAACTATATTCAATAAAATTACAGCAATTTAATAATGTCGACTTCTTTTAGATTGTATCAGAATTTATAGTATTATTTATAAAATTCTGATATTTTTCAACAAATATTATAAATCTATTATCAAAATCTCACAGGGACGATTCGCTTTCTCCGACTAGGAACTAGGTAGTCGGCCGCTTGAAGAGCCGACTATTACTACAAGTTCCAAGAATCCAAACCTACAAAGAAATGATTGCAGAGGAACATGTAGAGATGATAAGTCGGGTAAATTGATGGCGCCAGGAAGAGGAAATATAAACGGGCAACATGGGAGTGGGAACTGAAGGAATACAACTTTTGTAGCATGTATCAATGGATGACCGAATGGAGGAAACCGAAGAAAGTCAAGAACAATGTACATTGATATCATTAAAGATTAGGGGTTAGGCTCTAGCTATGTGAATGTAGAATTGCTATCAATGAACGAGCAATGGAGAGCCTTATAGCTATTATACAGCCTGGCAAAAGATTCCCTGACAGAGCGGGAATGAATCAACCTTTGGGACATTGAGAAATAGAAAGATTGAGAAACTAAATACCTTCTGAAATATTTTAATAGAGAGAAACCCTATCAATGTTTATATCAAGCATAAGCACAACGACCTCACGTACATTGACCAAGTGAAAACTGTGTGAATACAAATGCATACTTATCAGTGCTCTTCACCGTCTCTCATAAAGCTATCCAATATTTCCAACGACAGCATATACAAAGAAACCCCATCGATTTCATATCCCAACACCAAAAAGTCCGTTTTCCTCAACCCCCCCTCCCAACAACTAGAGAAATCTAACCCCGATCCACGAACTTCTCACATAAACCAACCTCGATCGGCACATCCAACCTTGACATCTAACTTCAATTCACTACATCGTCACTTTCCCTCACAAATCTGATACTCCAAATCCAACAACAAAGAGACAACCATCGAGTGCCACCTAATCCATTCAAATCTGTCGGTCCGCTTAGTAATCTTGTAGAAAACAGCATTTCCGGCGCGGATTTAAATCTCGGAAATTAGGTTTCGAGCGAGCTGCGATTTTTTTATATGAGGTGAGAGATGAGACGAGAGGTGAATGTGACCACTTAGCTGCCTGGATGTGATTCACAGCCCGTTTCGAGTTCCTATCTACGGATCTTTTCCACGGCACAACCCGTTTCTCATTTCAACAAATTTGGAGAAAGAATATGGTGTGTTATTGCACGGTTGTCTAGCTTGATTGAAGATCTTTGGATTCCATTATTTAATTGTTAAGTTGCGTGCGACATTGACAGTTTGTTTCCCTGCGATTTCTTCTACAAAAGTCAAAGGTGTCAACAACGATACGTCGATACCTCGATATCAAAAACTCCATCAAGGTACCAAGCATCTCATCCAGTATTGCTCAACATGTCGCACCAAGCCATGCAAGATCCACCAATTCCCTTGGAAACTGGACCAGACAGTCTGATGCCGCAATCACTCTTGTCTCTCCCATCCCTCAAGCAGTACATGGTCCACCGATTGGTTCATGAAGGAACAACCATCATCACCATGGAAGCCGCATTGAGCCACTACGCTAGCCATTACCACACCATGGCCAATGTATGTGCTGGAGCAAGTGAAGGCACCATTACTTTCATGGCAGATAAGTTGTTCTGGCTTTCTCACTGCATGTTAAACATTGCCTCTTTCTACTTTGAGAGATTTTCTGATTGAAATATAGGGCCCCATGAGCAGTTTCCTCGCCAATATTGTTACTTGACTCCGGGGGATAGGGAGGTCATTCATCGGGCATATAGCAATATTCCTGTCGAACGCTTGAATGCCATGAATGATCAACTGTATCGTGCCCAACAGCAGAGATGTCTTCAGCTTTATGTCCAGGAGGCTCAGGCGTGGAGCAAGAGTATTGAGGATAAGATTGCGCAAATGGAACAGAAAGGAGAGAAGATTGAGGACCATGAGGCAGATGATCACCGAGATGAAGGTTTACAGCAATTGGCGCAACTTGAGGTTTGAGGGAAGAAGAAGCAAAAAGATGACTCTCGGATTACTGAGAGGCTTTGGGACAACCTGATTGTAATTCTACGCATAATAGTACATCGCGTTTAGAGTTACACAGGAGTTTCTAAAAGGTGGCCATGAGAAACCTATCAGGACTTCTAATGTACTTGAGGCGTTGCAATTGACTCGTGAGTCGATTAGCTAGCTTTCTTAGAACAATAAAAACATCATCACCCTAATCTATACTTTTGCTTTTTTAAGGTGACCGATTCTGAATATTTCCCATCTGAAGATTCACTATCGAATTTTCTCCGCCTCAACCTATTTTCTCGATAAGATTAGGTAGGTAGGTATCTTCAATTTTTTATCACCTCAACTACAGACACCATTGCAAAAATAAAACACAATAACGAAGCTCGCGGTGATACTACCTTAACTACTCTTTCATTATGGCTTATATACCATGCGGTAAATTTATGATAGCAAAGCTCGTTGATGATCAGAGTTTCGACCCCGCATACACAAAAAAGCAAGCCACGCGACTTTATCAGATTTGTTATAGAAAATATAGCAGAGGATATGTTCGAGTTGGCACAGAAAAGATGCTTTACATGGCAGATAAATGCTTTTGGCATCAATTCTGTAAGAGGTGTGGGATCAATGAGTAGAATGACTTCTGACAATGACTTCAGGGCCAGATGAGGAATTCCCAAGAGAAAATGCGCACGTTTTGCTGGGTAAAGAGGAAGGAAAAGCTACAAAGAAAAGTGAAAGCATCGCTGGAAAAATAAAGCAGGGCAATAAGCAAGATGACACTCAGAGTCGACAGAATGAAGCAGCAGAATTGGCACCGCAGCACAAGATCTCCAACACAAATAAACCAGTAAAGACTACCAATTTCAGAGAAGGTTCGCGACCAAAGCAGAATGCTGTAACTAGAGGCCGCACCAAGGCTTTGGGTGATACCAAAGGTATAGATTTGGGCATCCTTACAATACAACGAAGAAAAGAATACCGGAGAAAATTAAAACAAAATCTCTCGAGCAAGAAGCAGACGGCGGAAGCATCAGCAAGAGCCTTGTCCAAACGCGATTCAAAAGCATCTGTACTGAGTGAAAACTCACACATATTGCAAGGGGGCTTAGAGAAAGCGCAGTCGGCGTCCTTGAGCACGCAATTGCAGAGTCGGTCCTCAGAAGCGGCTGCAACAACAGCACACAAAGACCCAAACCCATTGGGAGAATCAAAACCATTGGAAGACTCACGACATTCGTCTGAAATAGCACAAGATCTTCAACTGAATCATTCCTCAAACCGGCTTCAGACACTTGATGAAATGATTGAAGAAGAAAAAGAGATTGCAAGTCAACTTAGATGTGTGCGTGTATCTTGTCCCAGTCCCGAGGAGAATAGAAAGATATGTCAGGGAGGGGATGACCTGGGGGCGGGTGACGGTAGAATTAAAGAAGCAGCAAATGACAGCCGTTTCTGCGTGATAATTTAAGGCCGACTTATGCTATGAAGCAATGTCCTTGTTGGCTACAAGGAACCGTCCAGGGTTATTACACGTATGCGTTTGTTTGGTGGTTGGTTGGTTTGTTGGTTGGCTGGCTGGCTCCATTTTGAGGAGAGATTTGATCATTATGAAGCTTATCAGGGGTTCTGAGAGATGGCGTGATGCTTCATTTGTTCCCTGATACTTGAGTTTCTCCATAGCCTACTTCGGTATGTCTCTTGCGGCGGAGTTGGAGTTGGGAGCAGCGAACTGCATGCTGGGTGCATCGTGGCAGCATTATGAGCTGTTTGAGACGCACTTCCATATCGAAAGCAAGGGAAGAGTTCTTGCACAGAACTAGATTGCATAGTACTTGCTTTATTGGATCTGAGGGCTTCAACAACTACTTGTTTTCATTTCCGTCGCGTTACTGAACCTGTGGTGAAGTGAATTTTAAGTGAGGTCTAGGGTGCACGGAGCTAAAATATAGGCAGAGTTTTGCCTATGTTACTACCCCCACTTTATTTCGACCCCTCGTTACCTCTTTCTGCAATGTTTACCACACTTTGACAATGAAATGTTTGGGAGAGCAGGATGTTTCCTGTCGTTCAATATGACTTGATACTTGTAGGTGGATTCTGTTACAGCTTAATAAGTGTATGAGCAGTTTAGTTTTAGTAGACATTATTACACATGCTGTCGGGCAAGAATCTATTCCGACAAGTATGTTTGTGCCTCGAAAGTGGCGATGTAAAGAAGGGCCCTTACCAATCACGTACAACGATCTCATGTAACACGGAAAGTAGGTGGAGTACGATATTGGCGCTTTATACAGCTCTTGCTGACTAGATAATCACGCGGAATCACTGTAAGGCACCCAGAAAGCATGTAGAGAGACGATGAAAGCATTTGTTTGACAATACCATGCGCAATATGATTCTCATTCAAATACGACGTAACCTTCTTGATAGCGGCGAGAAGCTGTCTGGTCGTCGAAATCCCCTCCTCCAAGTTGACTTTACTCCTCCTCCATCAATTTCTTCTGTAGCACCTCCATACAATCCTGCTCCGAATCTGCCAACGCCTGAAAGCTCACTGTATGAACCATCTTTTCGCAACACCACGTCTCCAACGTCCTCTTCTGGAAATCGAGAAAGTACGAATATTCCGCAAAAGGATTGTTGAAATCAACTTCCACTTCCACCAAATGCTTAAGATCACCATTCAAGATTGGCAATAGCGCATCTCCTCCTTGTACACCTCGAAGAATCCAATACCACTGTGTCTCTCGTTCATCGCCGCTTGGCTTGGAGTAGCCCAGCTTGCGATATTTCTGTTGAAGATCCTTCGGAGCTGCGACAGTTTCCTTGACCCACTACGTATCTGTTAGCTGAATTCATAAAAAGATGTCAAACAATACACATACTTCGATCTCTTGAAGACGTCGATGCATTATCGAGAATTGCTCGGGCTTCAATCCGAGAATGAATCTAACTATGTCGCGACCAAGACCTTCAGGGTAAGAATCGAAATGGCAATACACTGCTCGACGTTGTGTTCCTAGAACAAAGACAATAATTCCACTGGTGCCCATTTTGATGAAATTATTTTAAAAGATAACGATGTTGTGAAAGTGTAAGATTTTTAAGTAGACAACGAAGAAGTTCAGGCGCAGAACGAAAAGTGCGTTGCGAGTCAATCATGAGATTTTGGAGGTATTTGTATTCATTTATACTCGGTGATTCTGTTTGTCAAAATAACAAGGAATCTTGTTGCCTAGGTACATATATTCATCACATTTTGATGCAGGCCGCCATATATCAGTCCGCCAATCAAATCATAGCATCAGTCCACCGTACAAATTATTTTACCTTTTGACAGATTGGTTTCCATAAATGTATGAGCCTCCCTAATATCTTTCCAGGAAAAAATCCTCTCGATAGGAACCTTGAAAGTACCATCTGCAAATTTCTGTAAGGCAGTTTCGACCAACACATCTCTCAATTTTCCCTGGTAATCTAGAGGTCTGCTTCTCAGTCTACTTCCCTCCCATCGCAAACGCTTGTTCTCGAGGAGAGTGATATCTAGGCCATCGAGTTTGTATCCACTAAGACTGGCTAGTTGGACAATCCTTCCGTCCATAGCTGCGGCTTCAAAGTTTCCCTGGGCGTAATTCTTCCCAATGAAGTCAACAATTACATCTGCTCCATGTCCGTCAGTTGAATCTAGAACTCCCTGGATCCAGTTTTCGGTATTGTAGTTGAAGCCATGTGTTGCGCCCAAACTTTTGCAGAAAGCGATCTTCTCATCGGAACCAGCAGTGACGAGTATCTTGTTGGCCCCAGCAGCTTTGGATAGTTGGATTCCGGCAATGGATACTGCGGATGCTCCGGCATGCCATAGAACATTATCTCCTGGTTTAAAGCATCCAACGAGATGTAAGGCTTGGGTTGCTGTTATCCATGTCTATTGTCCTGTTAATACCACACTACATAGAGCCTTCAATACATACCTCTGGGATCCCAGCAGCTACAGACCAAGATATATGAGCCGGTTTGTGAATGAGCATTTTTGTCGATGATGCGATGTACTCAGCATACGCCCCTGTCAAACCATCAATCAGCACCCCTTGCACTACATGGAGCAGGTATCATACCACCATACGCAAGTCCAAAAACCTCATCACCAACTTTAAAATCCCCAATGTCTCCATCCCCAAGTTTCTCAATTACCCCGGAAAACTCCACACCCAGTATTCTCCCCGCTTGTGGAGGTACATTATACTTTCCCTCCCGCTGCATCAAATCCATTCGATTAAGCCCAAAGGAATGGATCTTTACTAAAGCTTGAGAAGTGGAAGGCTCGGGTTTGGGAATTTCATTGTTCAAAAAGAGACTGGAGATTGGTCCGCTTCCATTTTCGATATCTGTATTTCGTCAGTCATATCATTCCATATTATAGCTAATTATTCAATTTTTTTATCTCCTTACCGATTGCACGCATCATTTCTCCAGCCATTTTGCTTTGCTTAAAATATCTCGCAGTAACCACCCGTTCCTTGAGAGAGCAATGAATCTTATATACAAAATTTAGCTATGCAAGTCAGCATAGATTATTAACACGGAGCCGGAAATGACGCTACTTGGTAACAACAAAAATGCCTCCTCATTGGACAACTATTTCGTTTAAATGCAACGTAGATAGTTAGCCGATAGCTAGACGCATGTGGCTTTGTCATGATTTGTAGCTGTCGAGTGGACATCAATTTACCACAGTCTCACCCAATCTGATAGATTGCCAGGGTGCCAATGAAAGTAGGCTGAAATGTTGGCCTATGAGTGCCGGAAACAGTTGTAAGCAAATATACTTATTGAACAATCACCAGTAAAATTTCCCCAAAATCTATAACTTAAATCCTCAAATTGTGCTGTTTCTAGATGACATTCGAAAAGGAATTGGAATCCTTAAGATCCGTCAAATGAAAAGCAATGCTCCAATCAATTCGACCCATCCTTCGTCTAGTCTACCGGAAACTAGATGCAACGAACCAGTAATAAATCTACAACCCCCCAAAATGCCTGAATATCAACCTTTGAATCTTTGAAACAATCTGCAACAATGAACAGTGCTCTCAGGCCAATAGCAAAAGCTGTTGATCCACCTTCAAATGCTGTCTACCTTCAATGCAATTCACGTGACCCATGCAACCGAAAATCGACACAAAACTCCCCACCCCTCCCCCCTAAAAAACAAATTCAATGCCATCATATCAATTCCATATCAATTTCGTATCCATTTATCGTATCCGAGCTACAGTGGTTTCATATATATTTCTCTCAGCCCAGAGTGCCATATTCAGCTCGTGGTGTGAATGGTGTGCTCAACTTGGGCGTAAAAATTCCATTTCCGCTTAGTCCCTGAGTTTTCCAAGCTTCCAACATTACTTCGATCTCTCTTCTAGCGTCTTCAACAAGGTCATCCATATTGATGTCAATCTTGTCTGTTCCGAAGGGATCTTCGTGCCATTGGGCGATCCCTTCAATTCCGTAGAGGGCGAAAGCTACGAAAGCGACGAGGGGGACTGTCCACCAGCCAATCTCTGCAGCCATAGCAAAAGGCAATATGGCTACGAAAAGTGCTAAGACCTGTTTACTGTGTATTAGGTGCGCGACGGGTGTAGGTGCAAGTCTAATTACTTCCATGTTGCCGTAGGCTGCGACGAGTTCGTTGAGTTTGGCGAGCATCTGAGCCGAGGCACTATTGTTGAACCAATTCCTGTGTGTGAAGTATCCGTTAGAAGTCTCAAGACAAGAGGATGAATAGAAGAGATTTAATTGTCTTAAAAAAAAAGAGGATGAATGGCAGACTTACAAGTTGCAACCAGTGTTGACAAATTTCTCAATGTAAGTACTTAACTGAAGTGTAAGACCCAATCCCATATGTTCATGACCTTTAAATCCTTGTGGCAACAGGTCCTTATATTCCGCTGGCCAGGAAAAATCACCTTCTTCAGTCATCATAGTTCCTGAACTAAGTTCCACGCCCCAATCTGCTCTCAAGTGGTTTTTGACGGTATATAACATCGCTATCATAATCTTGACTGTTTCGATTGTCTTTGCCTCAAGTGCTTTGGAAATTGGCTGCTGAGCTACATCTGCCGCTCCATCAAAGTCCTTATATGCTGAGCTATCTGTACTGCCTTCATTCTGTGTGAATGATGAATCGTATTGATGATCGGGAGGAGCGGGGGCAGGAACAAGTACAAGTAGGTGCCGCGTGAGACATCGAATTGAGGTTGTGAGGGTCGCAAAGTGAGAACGGCCCGACCAAAACCTGGCATAAGCTGTTTGATTCCGAAATACGAGTTCTAGACCGACGACAATGGATAATGAAGGAACCTTGGCTCAGTTAGAAACTATTTTCTCAATTTTATTTGTAAGAGCACTATTCAAGTCTCTACATATATGACTAGATATGTGGCTCCGTCTAGCCGTGGCACAGCTTTCAGTATCAATCTAGATATCGAGGGTATTCTTGATCTGTCAAAGTCTTAAGCATGCCAGTTGAGGGTTCTCATGCACGTGACTTGAACACGGTATGTTGATAAGCGAGGATCACGTGTATGATCATCTTGATGTGCATGGACGATCAGCTTCAACGCATGCCCAGTTTCAGATTGTTCAAATTGAAATGGTAGATTTTGAACTGCTCAATAAACAACTGACAATTGATCTTTCATACACTTGAGACGATATAGTATTGATTTTGATATGCCACGATAAGAGGAGCCGTGCAGTAGAGCCCCAGACGATCAATTGTAATGTCCAGTTCTTGGAGAGTACTTACGATACTGGTTGGAAGCGTAACATCGCTGCTGATGTGTTGGTTCAAGTATACGACAATAGCAGAAATAGCAGAAAGAATGGCAACAGGCCAGACAACCTCTGCGTAGATATTGATTAGTCTCGTTTTCTCTTCTTCAAAGTAGGTGACTGATATATATCTTACCACTATGGATGCTTCCTTTCCAGAACCTAAGTACTAAAGGCCATCTATTTTGCTATTGTTAGCTAGATATCTGCATGAGTATATATATCCTCAAATATTGAGTTTACCTTCTCTCCTTCCTCCTTGATGAACTTGCCAACAACCAGGACATTTGACGGTTTCGGCTTGAATCTCCAGCAAAGTTTAGGAATAGAGGCGTTCTCGACATTCTTGCAGAATCAACTTTGCAAATCAAGAAGAATATAGAGAGATTGTTGCGATCCTAAGATGAGGGTTGAAAAATTCACTTGTGGTGGTAAAATAATAGGCTTTGCTGAAACAATTGCAGATCAGGAGGAATCCGGAGAAATTGCAGTGATCTTAAGACGAGAGCTGGAGATTCACTTGTGATATTGTAATGATAGGCGTTGGCGAAATATTTACAGATCAAGAAGAAGCCAGAGAAGTAGATGTAACTCTGGGATGAGGAGCAGACATTCACTTGGAGCGGTAAGATTGTAGAAGTTGTTGCTCAAGCGCATAACATGGGGAAGTGGACCTTGCTTAAGCCGCCATGACATTCAACTCCAACACAGGGGTATGCACTACGTAAGCGAAACAAGTTGCCGGACTTGAAGATCTTCGGGCAGTCTTTACGACACAAATATCATGCATGAAATCTGTTTTGTATAAAATCTTGAACTAACAAGCCAGCGTCTTGTTTGGCTCTTTTTTCTACGATCATCTATGGTTGATTCATGCGCCAAATTAAGGAATGAGTTTGGAGTACTCAATTCCGATAGGCTGTCTCCATGTGCCCGAAAAAAGCGGTTTCCGTTATCATGAATCAGCTAGGATTACCTAGTACACTTGGGCCAAACAGCCTCCACCAACAGGACGAATACGAAAAATATATTTTCTTTTCGATATCCGATATCAATTCAGGCAATCACTCTTTTGATATAAGAATCAGACTTATGTCTCTATGAGCTTTTAAATTATTTGTATTTTCAAGATCAATCGACAAAATGGAGGGGAAATGAAATATAAATGTTTTCAAAGTATGAATCTATTTGAGAGATTGGGCGTAGTGGCGGACGAGGCGGCTAAATCGATAATATTTGCAAAATAAGAAAAAACTTTGACTTGGACCTTAGCTATTGCATGTGACATTACATTGAACTGGATTTGTAATTGTACTCGAGTATTTACTGAAGTAATTATTTGTTCATGAGGTGAGAAGAACTAGAAGAACTAGAAATACACAGGTTTTGTGGCCGTAAACCTTCTGAATCATGCGCCCACCCCAAAAGCCACTCACTGATGTACAATGCTATCATATCTTCCCCAATCCAGATTCATTTTCTTTATCTCGTATCATAGCAGATTCGTTCATTACAATGCTGGCTTTCCTTGTTGTGCGCCAAGTTGAGCATTCAACTGTCCTGCTGTATCTGTGCCCGAGGAAAGTAACTATTGTAAGATATATCAGTATGAAATCTTCAAATTGAAATGCGATTGGATTGGATGGGATTGAGCAACGCACCTCTCCACCCATCTCTCTCATCTTCATTTCCTTCTCCATTTCAACTACCTGCTGCTCCTCCACAAATGCCAATGCCCATGGAACTCCCAATAACAAAGCACTTGTGCTCACAACGAATAAAGTCTTGCCTCCAAACATCAGACCCGATTTGATCCAACTTGTGGTTGCATCCACCTTGTTGGAGATAAATGATCGAGTGGATGCTGGTACTATATCTTTCAGGGCACTTATACGGTCTGCGAAAGTCTCCTCATCTGCGACATTGTCCTCTTCATCAGAAGAAATCTCGGAATCTTTGTTGAGCGTTCATTAGCTAACTGTAAATGAGATCGCAGTCGATTGTAAGACAAACCAGTATCAGTGTAGTAATCATCCTCAGATGGTCCAGCTTGCTTTTGCTCAAAGGACTCATCCTCAACTTCTGTCAATTCAACCATCTTTGCGAAGTTTTAAATTTTATGTTCGTAGGAAAAGGGAGGATGGGCTGTATGGGTTGTGGTATGCCAGTATGGATTCAATTTCCTGATGGTGGTTTATATCTTTACAGTAGCTATGCGGGCCTGATGATTTTTTGGTGCCCGCCACGCTAAAAGATCACGCTAGCGGCAAGGCTGGTCAACGACCGACGTCAGGCTGCCGAAACTTCAAATCCCCTGGCCTCCGTGTCCAAAACAGCCATCAATTATCATTTTCATTCTTTGTACTTTCTTTGAGTATCGATTTATGGGTGTTTCAATTGGTTTTAATTATGGGCACTGGTCTATTTCCTTTGTCTTCTTTATGCGAAACTCCTCACTGCAAAATCTCGAAGTCCTACATAAATGCGACGCACATTCTGAGGCCATTTACAAGAATCATTCAAGGACTTAGCCCCAACAATTTGCAACCATCATGACCGACCTATATCCAATTGTCATCCCGCCATTTGAACATAGATTCAAAGCTGTCACCTATACATGCAGCGGAGAAGGTCTACGCAAAGATGGTCATTCTTACGATCCCAACGTCGAAAAATTCATACCTCCCAAAGCTCAAAAGTTAGGCAATAATATTGGAGCGAGACCAGCAGGTTGGTGGAAAGCCCAATGCGCATTCAGAGGATTGAAACAAACTGGATCCATCGCCGAGTTACAGTCGAGGTTGGGAGGAGCTAAGAAAGAAATGGATCCAGAGCTGAAGGCCGCAGAGTCCCAATTGATCAAGGATTTCAAGAAGCAAAACAAACTTGCGAGAGATGGCGATTGGGATAAATTAAAGACTGCCGAGGAAAAGGCTGATGCTAATCCACAAAGATACCTCAACGAAGCGTTTCCGAAAAGTGCCACGGGAGAACTAGCAAAGCCGGATATTATCATTGTTAAGAATGAACATAAAGCTGCCTTAGCTGAAGCTGCGCATAAGATGGGATTGGAATCTTTGTTAGTGGATGCCCCTCGGGTGGGTAACAAACGGCCTTCTCCAGATCAGTGGGTAGTAGTGGGGAGAATTACAGATGCTGTATTGAATCAGAAGCGTGAGCTTGAACGGGCAGCGACTCGGCCCAAGGAAAACATACCAAAGGTAAGAGAAAACAAGCGATAAAGACTATCTCTTTTCAAATGGTAGTACCATACAGATGATCGGAATTTGTAAAGTTTACAGTGTCATCCATTCTTTGAGTTGAGGTTGGACGGTTATCAACCCCTTATTCTCCTTCAGAGGTGCTTCTTCCATCATCGAAAATAGTTCGAACATTCATAATGCCTTGCCGGAGCAAAAGGGGTCCAAAGGTATTCTTATAAGTATCATTTGGTTCTCATTTGCATCATCGTGAAATTGGAAAGACCTTCAGCTTGACTGGAATGGCTTGGCTTTTTTTGTGTCCATGTTTTCAATTCTCCTGCATGAAACTGGCCCTATGTATGGTACATTTAACTTCTGCTATGTCATACTGAAGTTGAAATGTACTTCATGTTGTATCAACTCATTGTAATAAATAAGGGCTAAGTTGTTTCTTCTTAGAAAACCCCTGGAGATCGACCAAAACAAACAGCAAGGAAATCTGTACCCAGTTCAGGAACGCACGACAATGTGTTTGATGAAATTGGGACTCAGCAAGCACGCCCAATACTACCACTACCACGGAGAAAACAGGGAGCTAGGAAAATTGCTCCAAGTACTGCCACTCATGATAATTTGTTCTCCGATAGTGATCTTCATGGTCCTAACCTTCCGGGGCCAGCTCTTCGAGGCCCCAAAAAACAGACGGCTGTAAAGTCTACAAGTAGTACTAGCACTCATCCAGACTTGTTCGCGGATGATGGTGAGGATGAAGTCGCTCACAGACAGCCAGCCGCGAAAAGATTACGGACATCGGCCAGCAGCGCGCGAGCCAATTCAAGCGCAGCTGAGTCGGAAGGTCTATGGGATGTTCGAGGTTCTTATGTGGTCGAGTGCCCAGATATTGAGGAAGAATGGGGAGAGAAAGACTCGGATCTTACTCTTGACATTTACGTGGAAAAGAAAAATGGAAGACATCAGATTTTTGCAATGTTCAATTTTATAGTTGTCGAGGTATGGTTTTATCATAGACTCGTGCCTGGTGTTCAATAGCTAACTTTACAATTAGGGCATCATGCGATTTGAAAGACCAACTGGTGTGCCAAGTCCGAAGAACGCTGATAAAAAGAGAAAACGAGAAAGCACTTCTTCCATAGATGAGGATGGAGATGTTATGATGAGTGACGTTGCTCAAAGTGTCGCGAGTAATAGTAAGCACAAAGAAAGTGCCTTTTTTCTTGGAGTCAACGATAAGCCCACAGCCCGGAGCCCTACATGGCCATATCGCTGGAGAGGTGAGGAGACTGGCGAAGGAGAAATTCAAGTTGGCTCTGATAAAAGGTTGGAGAGTATCACCTTTGACGACAAGAACAAGTCTTTATCAGGCACCTTCACGTGTGATTTCGCAGGGAAATGCAAGTTCACGGGTTTGAAGGTAAATAACCGTCCGCATGATTCACGGATTGATCCAGAGAGTCAATGGGAGAGCCGCAGCGAGGCTGCTTATGAGGAGGCACTTCAGACAAGGTGGAAATGATGGTGATTATTAACAAAAGCTCTTTGCAATTCTTCTTTGTACCACATAACTACCGTGGTCGATACATTATGATTTCACAGGTTGTAAGATTAAATGCACATAAATACAAATTGCAGGATATGATACGGAACATACCCGTATAATAAGGCCTGAAGTCATATCTGAAAATCGAAGCACTTCGTACATGATTTGACATCGTCCGGAATCCGGGTTTTTGTTCTTAGCACGGCCCCTGCAATAAAAAAAGACCCGTCTGAGTGCCGAGTAGTCGAGATAATTATTAAGTGACAGATAGAGAGAAGTGGATCTAGTGAGAAATGAAACAATTACCCAAGATGTCGATCTTCAACTAAATTGTCATCTCGTGTAAATAACGTGGGTTGTGAACTTGTGGTGAATCTTAGATGCACTAGGGTTTGATAGATAGGTGAGGGTTTGGATGCATGATTCCGCAGAATGTCGATACCTGCTAGATAGGTTGAAGATGGAAAAGAAAATGTGTCTACGATATCAACGACCTATTGTACATGTAAGATGTTACATATTCGTATCGAACCGAGATGGCTTGGAAGATATGCAAGTAGGGTAGTGAGGAAGAAGTCAGCTACCAATTAAGTCGATGTAGACGGCTTGTACTTGTCGCTCCTCTGTACAGAATCGTCAAGCAAGGACAATGAGATTCAGTTATTGGTCAATCTGGTTCATCTGTGCACCTTCGGACGAACACTTGTTACAGAACACGAAGCGATACAGATTGCATTTTCAAATCGGCATGAATAATCCCCAGAGAGATACCGGGTAGATACCTGTCTGTAGGTAGGAGGTACGTAGGTAGGTATCTAAAAGGCGGGGGAGACCACCCTTCCGTTCAGGTGTAATAAAAGGGGGAATATTTTGATATGTGTGAATTGAAGCGACCATGTCGATATCTAATCAACGACGTCAAACTCATAACTAGATACATACTTGGTACACTACTAGATATATATATATATATATATATATACCACCAAGTATGTCTCCTTTTAAATATTGAGGCGTATATAAAAAGCATGATATATCATATATAGCTAGGTCGCTGCTACCTCACCAATGAATCTTTCCTCAAAAAGGAATTGTCAAAGATCTTCTCTAGAAGCATCTTAATCATTTATTAAGCGCAGACCCCCTCGACAAACACCTTACTTACTTGGGCACCTTTCCTCTCCAATCTTCTAACTTTTGGAACATTTCTTAATAATTTCCGATAATCCATTATCCATCTTGCTTCTTCAGTCAGTCCCTTAACACACACCTTGCTTCTGTACTGTGACGAGTCACGACCGGCTTCAATATTTTCTTTTCTTTTCCTTTGCTTTTGTTCTTGCTTTGGACATTTTGGGGATTCGGCTTCTTTTTTGGGAATCTGCCAATTTATTTGGGCCTCCAATCGCACATTTTGCAGATGAAGCGGCATTACATTATATCATGTACAGATACGATTACCCCTGAATCGAATGTTTAAACCGGAAGATTGGTATAATTACCCTGATCCACAACAAATTTCGACGAGGTTCGCAAGGAAATGTCGTTGAATGGCTTGGATGATGCGAGCGTCAAGGAAGCATACGATGCGGCGGTAGCTGAGCCCGGAGGATGGTATGCTTGTGTTCAACATCTTGTATCTTATTGCTCTGCGTGCGCCGTGATATAGTAGACTGATATTGTATTCGTCGTGTAGGTTCCTTCTTAAGTATGCCTCGAGAGACGAAATAGAATTAATGGGTCGTGGCAATGGGGGAATTGTGGAAATAAGAAATAAAATTGGACAATATGAAGAACCATCGCCGTTGTTCGGGTTTCTGCGATACAGGCGACGGAACGTAGTCATCAAATATGTGCCAGATGGATGCTCAAGACTGGTTCAAGGTGGGTTCCCTTGTTGTTGATCTCGGTCAAAATATTTCACTTTCGGGAATCTAAATTCTAAATTCTAACAATCTGATAATCCGATAGCTCGCGTCACCGTTCATTTTAATGCTGTCACCGAAAAGTTCGCACCTTATCACACGATATTCGAAATAACCACTGCGAAAGAGCTCCGTGATACAACCCTGTCTGCCGCCTGCTCACTACACACTGCTTCGGGATCCGTTTCATCTTCGACCAGTTCTTTGCGCCGACGACGTTTAATGGAAATTGCAGAGGACGAGGAGGAGGACATTAGAACAAAAAGACAATCCACAGTTCAGGAGGAGCACCCCCCTACTGCACAAACTATTACCTCAATATCGGGCACCCAGCCAGCAGTTGATCCGACCACCCTGCCGGCCGATCTGCCAAATTCATTTACTTTCTCTTCTATGGTTGCAGAAGGAGACAACAGTCTTGAAACTTCTCCTCCTCCACCACGTTCCAAAGCACCTTTGACCTTCGATCTTGATACCTCTCCGCCTCCTCCAAGGGAGCCGCGTGAACCTGAATTCGGATCATTCTCACCTATTGCAACCACTGACGACGCACCTCGGACATCTTCACAGTCCGCACGACCTGATTTGTACAGCCTTACATCTCACGAGTTTACCGGCAGACCTAAAGTCAGACTTGGACCTCGCCCTTCTCTCGATGTTGGCAAAACTACTACGTCTGGAGGAGCCCCTAACTGTCGTCCAGTGTCAACACTTCCACAGGGATTGAAAGCATCTACAAAGGGAGGGTCAAAAAAGGGGCGGGCGAGTTTGAACTCGCAGGAGTCTGAAGAGCCACCCAGTATGAGTTTGTCACCACCCTCTATTCCTGAAAATGGAACTCTACCCACGTTTTTCCCTTCTCGCCCTCATACAAGTGGTGGACGACCAAACACCAGCTCTGGGGTTTCGGTTCGAACAACATTGTCAACGAATTCTGCCACCCCCAATGCAAAAGTCCCAACAATTACGCCAGAGAAGGCAAGGCTTATGAAGGCTATGGAAATGCGGAAGAGGCAATTGAGTGCTGGTGCGCCTGCGCAAATACCACCCACTTCTCCAAACTCCTCGACGTCTCCAAGAAATCTCGAGATACCCTCTGCCCTGAGCCCTGGCACGCCACAAGGCGCTCCACAGGAGATTCAAGATACCTTGGCTTTGCTAACTGATATGGCCAAAGCAGATCAATCCGCGATTGCCCTCGATACAAGCTTCGCTATGAAAACGGACGACTCAGACGCTACAAGATCCGATTCCTACCCGGTATCACCCGTTGGGCCTTCAGAAAAAGCAGAATCGACAAGAGCGTCTTCTATCTCGGAGTCCACGGATGAAACCGTTCAAGAAGCACTCTTTACGAAAGTAGTGACGAAAGATAATATGGCTGAAGAACTGCCCCCTACTACTTTATTAGAAAGTAATGGGAACGAGCCAGCTGTAACAATATCACTGCAAAGCCCAGAACTAAACGACGAAAGCATGAAATCCGACCAACTTCAAGGCACCGAGGAATTAGCTAGCAGCTCTAGTCACTCTGTCTCCAAAGATACCGTACAGGATGATCTCACGGTTGCCACCTCTCCCCTTGCCGAAGAACAAAATACCAAATTTGAAGCGTCTGCAGAACCTTTGCAAACTTCCGCTAGTGAGCCTGTTTTCAATACAATTGACAAGCCTCTGAAGGATAGTCCTTTCGACCCTGGGTACAATTTATCACAGAAGAAGAAAATCCATAACATCGAGCCAATTCGAACTAGTTTCGATAGGAGTGGCCCTAACTCTGAGAATAACTTCTCCTCAGATGACGAACTTATGGATGAGCTGCAGTCTGCAGTTATCCAAGATGCAAAGCCTATGTCGGTGGGCAAATCGCCAATCAGTCCTTTGTTTCCTCAGCCTACGCAAAATGAGATCAAATTTTCACGAACTGTTTCAAGTCCGTTACAATCAATTAATCCGATTCCTCCACCTCTTACTGCCATGCCTGGTGGTGACCGACCTGTTTCTCGACCTGTTTCGGCATCTGCAAACTTTTTGAACCGCCTAAGCATGCAACCTGCTGCGGCACCCGTTGTTCCTAAGAAGATTAGTGTAGCATCTGGTGTTGCGAACAGGATTAAAGCCTTTGAGAAGTTTCAAAATCTAGCTCCAGACTCTTCTGCAGCACCATCCACATTGGGACCAAATCCATCTGCATCGCCTGCATTTTTTTCTGTTCGAAGAAGCAGTGCACTTGTTCCATCGAGAGCTCCTTCTATTGCCGAACGAACAAATTCCTTGAATAAGAATACACCATCTCCCAGTGTATCAAGAGATGGATCACCTGAAGTTGCTAAAGGACGTGAAAGATCAAACTCTGTTCAAAAAAGAGTGGCTATGTTGAAGCCGACTCCTGTTTCTGACCTCAAGTCGACTAGATCTCGACCTGAGACTGTCCAGGTAACCGCTCGCATCGTTAGAGATCCTAATCAACCATTTCCTCAAACGCCAGAAGCTGGCAAAGATCCTTCGGATTATAACTCTCCACCATTGACAGAATCCCCATTGATCATAGATCATCAGAAGGCGGTTTCTAGTCCTTCAAAAGAGAAAGAAACCGTACCCGAAAGGCGTTTATCAACGTCATCTAAAACTACCACCACTACTAATAACGAGAGACGATCATCTATCGCAATGGTCAAAGACCTAATCAATGATAGTCGTTCTTCATTTTCCGAGCGTCGGCGTTCTTCTACTATCGAGCCTTTCGCATCTTCTCCGACTGTTAAGTCGCCATCGAAATCCTCCTCCACCGATGTTACATCCCCTGTTCGTAAATCTCGTCCATCCTCCATCAGCAGTCGTCGTAGTCTTGATCGTTCCGAATTCTCTCCACCACCAACGGCTAGCTCAGCGTCTTCCGGGAATGACGAGAAGTCGGACAAAAAGTCTGGCCGTGCAAGTCGTATGATGAAGCGCATGTCATCATCATTATCTTCAAGTCGCAAGGCTATTGCACATGCTATATCACCTACAGTTCGTGAGGAATCAGAGCCCCCTGTTTTCCCTAATTCGGAGGCTTCACTTGTTCCATCTCAACCATCATTGGCAGCCTCGCCCACAATTGCTCATGATATTGGCGACGTCAACGTTCAATTTCCCGATAGTCTTTTATGGAAGCGTAGATCAATGGTCTTGGATTCTCAAGGACTTCTTATTATCACAGCTGGCGGAAATGATAAAGGAGCAACACGTAGATTTCACCTTGGGGAATTTAAATCTCCTGAGATACCCGATGTTGATATGCAAGAATTACCAAACAGTGTTGTTTTGGCTTTCTTGGAAGGTGGTGAGCTGCAAATTGCATGTGAGGATCGAGCCAGTCAAGG